CTATTTTTTTTTTATCAACTTTGGTCAGTCGCCGCCGGGCCTTTAACCCACGATCTTCTGATCATGGAGCGAGAGCTCTACAGAATGAGCTACTGTGACGGTGGAAAACATAGTTGGAAAATCTTTAAAATTCGTCAATTTAAGAACAGCAAAGTCATGATTAGTAATATTGATATGGAAGCATCCTGAGGTAGTGTAAATTAAAGTTGCCCGTCCCCTACCCCATTCAATATTGCACTGATTTCTGCTTCTTCCTAGCCAATGAGCTCAGATAAGCGATGTGGCCCATGGGCCTCTTGTATTTACATTTGTGACCGATTTTACTAATAGTAAGGTACTATAATTTAAAAACCCATAAAATGATGTATTTTTTTTAACCTCAACGATATAAATTGAATGCGTTGAACATGTTGATCACTTTTGACTTCACTATAAAATTACGTAGATCGTTTAATGGTCACATGACGAACTTGTTTTACACAGGTGTAAATACGCCTTGCTCGAATAGTGCTGTATAAGGCAACGTATTTGCAAATGTAAGTATTACGTTTCTGTGTTATTACCGTTGGCACCCCAGTTTAAGTTTTAGAAGCAGTCCATTCTCAAGTAACTATAAGCCCTACCTGGACCAAACTTACAAGGATGATACTTCTAGGGATAAGCACAAGCAAAACTTGCTTCAAATGCTGGAATTGGCCTACATTTTGCAGATGAATGACCAGCTTGAAGTTTTAGGTGCAGGTCCAATTCAGTGTAACTGTAAGCTCTACCAGGACAAAACTTACATGGATGATGCATCTAGGGATGAACATTACCAGACCTGCTTCGGATGCTGGATCTTTTCCCAAGTAACTATAAACCCCACATAAACCAAGGTAGGGAATTTGTAACCCATTTCTCGGATGGAACAATTGCAATCATAAGTCTGAAAAAAAATATTTGGAAAATTGAATACAGTCATCTTGAAATTCTGTGAAAAGAAAATGAAAATAAAAATGGCAATGAAAGCATTTTAACCAAACTATTTAAACTGATTTAGACAATAGACAAATGCAAGTGGTTTCCGGCTTGACGTCATTGGGGTAGTTTGTCAGTTTGTAAAGATTTTGCTGTAATGGTTTTTACAGCGTTTCTTTGCCCTGTGTTTCTTTAATGATATAATTTAATTATGGTTGAATACTTTGCACTGGATATAATGTTTGTCTTAACCCCGTCTTTCTCTTGCAGTCACTAATCAAATTATATAATTATAAAATAAACATTTTAAATTACGATTTGTTCAGACTTATTCAGAAATCTGATTATGGTGACAATGCAAAATTAACTTACGTGACATGAACGATTTTTTTTCCAATCTCAGTGTTTACTTTAATTTGAATAATTCTCCAATCACTTTTAAAAAAAAAAAAAAATGTTTAATACCCTTGTTTTTTTTTCCTCTCAAATCATAACGATTTTTCTGTGGTTTAAACTGGTTTAATTAAAATTCAAAATTATGTCAGTGACCTTATAAAAACCCTTTAGGTTTCTGTGACAATCGAGTCGTTGACATTTCTTAATCTCTTTAAAAAAGAAAATTATTATAATTTGTCATGATGTCGAATTGAAAAAACATAAACTTATAGATCTGATAAAAGATCCAATGAATTTCCATTATGTTTATTTTAGAAGATCTCATCTTAATTGAAGGAGCTCTGTGCGTGCTGATGGACTATTGATATTAGTTTTTATTACTTTATTATCCTTGGTAAAAAGAATGTGCTTTTTTATAATTGATTCAAAACATTATTTTTTAAGATAAATCGTAATCTTTCCAGTGTACGACAAACTTTAACCGGAACTTAATTAGGTTAAAATCTCTCTCTCTCTCTCTCTCTCTCTCTCTCTCTCTCTCTCTCTCCTACACACACACCCTCCCTGACACGCAACGCACACACGTCCACGGTCACCCTGACTCACAGAAAATCTGATGAAATTATAGAACTAAGAAAAAGACACTATACATGATCGTATAACAGTCAAGACAACTCATAAGATGATGGCAATTCATCATCCGAGATACAGTATGCAACTGAGGGTAGTATGTGAAAGGGAAAAAGAAAATCGACATAAAGAAATTACAATCCGTGTTTCATCCAGCCAATAAAGTCGCAATTTATAGCTTTTATTCATAGATTATATATGTATATCCACTACATTGTTGCCTGTTTGATTGCTATGCCTACGTAATCGAAAATTCGGGAGAATGTGCTTTGCCTTGTCTGACTGTCGGTGTTTGTCTGTCTGCAAAAACTTTGACCTTGCCCATAATTTTGGAGTGGTTGGGGCTTTGGCTTTCACATGTGTATTTCTTGTGACAAAGTACCACGAAATCTGACCCCTTAAACTTTGAGGTGACCCACCTTTACTATAAAATTCCGCATTTTTTAAAACAATAATCATTCTGTAAGGTTTTACCTCCACCCGCCTAAATAAAATCCATCCAAATAAAATAAGTATTATATTCTTATGGCCGATATTGTTTTTAAGATATTGCCCGGTTACTTCATTGAACTCTTGCTGCAAAGGGCAACAGGAGTTGTCACTCCTCAACTTGCTTTACACATCCAGTAGGGGTGGGACGATACACACATCTTGCGATACGATACGTATCTCGATATATTGGAATGATACGATACGTATCTCGATATTATGAGAAATTATAAAAATATTCAAAAGAATTGGTATTTTATTTCTTTTTTTTGTCTTGACATTAAATCAACAAATTATTCTATATCAAATCATGTTTGCTTTGAAATTTATACTTGAAGTTCATCAATTTCATTGACTAAAACTTGACAAAAACAATAATACATGTACATACTATTATTACCAAATTATATTCAGAAGTTGTGTACAAATAGGTGGGTAGTTTATCAGAAAACACTGACTAAAAATTCATTTAAAAAACAGCCATCACATTTACATTTTTATAAATTCATTGCTGAAAGTCTGTAGCCAAGCTGAGATTACAAAAAAGGTACAAGATGGACTAACAAATCAAATGTTCTGGAAACGATATTTTCTGTGTATAGCACGCATTACATACTGAACTTTTCTTGTCCAATCTTCCGACCAATCTTCCGAGGTTGCTTAAAAGTGAAAACGTTTTACCCCTAACCAACGACTTATTAGTTCTAAAGTGTGTTTTCAATATCAACATCATCTCTTCGCTCGTACAAGCCGCCATTCATAGGACACAGACTACCAATTATTTTGCTATACATTCCTTTATACTATAAAAATTGATTAAAAAAATTACACCAGCTCAACTTACCTGAAACTTGGCACAGAGTAAGAAGAATTCAAGTCCAAAAATTTTTCAGACTCTCAGGAAAATTCATCGCATGCAGTTCCTGCTAAGGCATCGCAAATAACCCCTACCCTGCTTTTTTCACTTTCTCTTCGGGAAAAGGGTAAATATGGGCCTCTTTACACCCTCCCTACTACGCGCGCAAGTGCAAAATTTCACATATTAACAATTTTATATTTTTTTTCAAACCCTCTCCTTTCCATCTATACCCAAAAATAACATCAGTCCACCCCATAAACACCCCAAAGAATTTTTAAGAAAAAACCTCTATTTTTAAACTGGAACTACTTGAGTGGTCAATGAAATAGGGGTAAAATAAGTAGTCTGTAACCTAATAAGGACACAAACCTTGTCTGATTTTGCTGAAATTTTACATGCTGGAGTCTTTTGTATCTACAAAGTGGCCGGTGAAGTTTCATTGAAATTGATGATTCCTAAGCAGAGTTATGGCCCTTTAATTGATGTGCTGGAACACCTTAAATCAGAGGGTAAAATAAGCATTAGGCACACAGTTCTCAGATTTGAAATGCTCACAGCTCACATGCATGACAGTTATTTTCTTTCCTTATATTTTTGTATACTAGATATATATGTCCTACACAAATTTCAAGAACAAAACTTAACCTATTGCATAAGTAAATATTTTTAAACAATTTTTCAAAAAAATACCTTCAAAAAGCATAAAATTCTTGGAAATATTAAAAATAAAAATATTTAGCACATTTTAATTTTAGTAAAACAAATATTAAAAAATTCTACAATATATAGGCTATAAAAAATTAGTATAAAAGTTAAGGGAAAGAGATTAATACCTTTGTTATAAGCAGATTATCCAACCTGGTCAATTCAGCCTCTGTCAGGAAGTGGTACTTACTACTCTAATTGGATTATCCCTGGTCATATTAAGACTTCTTTGATGGGTATTTCTTGTAACAATATGCATTATTAGATAATAAATACCAAAAATTCTGTGAAATTTTGGATTTTATAATTCTGAATTTACAAGAAAAGGAATTTATATGTGCATTTTACCTACATACATTCTTCAGGCTGCTGTAGAAAAAGGGGAGGCAACTCTGCACTGTAAAGGTACCAAAAAAAAACAAAATGATTAAAAAGCATGTCTATATACTTTCAATGGTTCAGCATAGAAAATATACCATGCCTGTGTCACCTATAATCACTCCTGGAGATGCTTGGAAGCTAAAACAGGGAGGGGGGGGGGTAGAGAAGGTTCTATTAAAATGGAGTACATAAATTCTGTCTGTCTTGTGTATCATTATTTCTGCACAGTGTTTATCCAAAATCTTGAAAACACATGTCCTTGTCAAAAAATGATGATTTTGTCTGATATGCGACCACCGACAATGATGTCCAAGATGCCACAAGAGTAGAAGAAGTCAGTAGGACCAAACATCCCGTATGAAATGTTGAGCACCTTACTGACCTCCCCTGTCTTGGACAATCACAGATCAGTGCCAGCAATCAGACAGCAGATATTCAATTCCAAAAGAAGAAGGAAAAAGAGAAAGTTTCAGAGAGTACACATTGATTGGCAAGAGATGATGATGACAGATGAAAACAGTGTAAAAAAGAAATCAAACACAAAAAAATAATACAAACTTAAGAGTCAGTTGACTATATACCTTTAACTTGGCTGTTGTGGACTGTAATATTGTTGACAGCTGTATCTTGTTTTCTGAATGATCATTGCCTCTGCTACTGGTACAAAATTGTTCACTTCTGACTGGCAACTGGCCTGATTTTTTATGAAGCCACCCATCCAGGCTATAACTGCTTGCAATCCCACATCAGTCAGCTAGAAATGAGCCACTGAAAAAAAAAAAATTTTTAAGAATTTCAACTTTAGTTCACATTCATAATTAATAAGTAATTGTGTCAAATTAATAAGTAACTGTGTCAACTATAATTACAGACAACAAGTAGCCAAAGTTTTGAGAAATTAGGCATTACTTTCCTATTAACAACAGTGTAATCTGAACAATCAAATGTTTTAAACATACCTTGGTTTTTGAACTCCATTTGGCATTTAAAATAGCAGGATAGGTGAGGAATGGGTTTTATGTCACCTACAACATTATATGTAGAATCAAAATTCATATTGCATAAATGTTTGACACACATCAATTGCACACATTACGTCATCCCTCTGACAAGCTGAGCAGGTGCCCCCTCCCCCTTTTCAATTATTTAAATCCATTTAACTTCTCCAAAATGCAAATTTTTCCATAAAATTTGTCAACAATTTGCATAATTAGTTCCAAATTATCCAAAAAGTGCCAGTAAATTGATTAACGTGAGATTTGACCTTTGACCTCATAGGACACAGACTACCAATTATTTTGCTATACATTCCTTTATACTATAAAAATTGATTAAAAAAATTACACCAGCTCAACTTACCTGAAACTTGGCACAGAGTAAGAAGAATTCAAGTCCAAAAATTTTTCAGACTCTCAGGAAAATTCATCGCATGCAGTTCCTGCTAAGGCATCGCAAATAACCCCTACCCTGCTTTTTTCACTTTCTCTTCGGGAAAAGGGTAAATATGGGCCTCTTTACACCCTCCCTACTACGCGCGCAAGTGCAAAATTTCACATATTAACAATTTTATATTTTTTTTCAAACCCTCTCCTTTCCATCTATACCCAAAAATAACATCAGTCCACCCCATAAACACCCCAAAGAATTTTTAAGAAAAAACCTCTATTTTTAAACTGGAACTACTTGAGTGGTCAATGAAATAGGGGTAAAATAAGTAGTCTGTAACCATTTTCCAAGGACAGGTACTTTCATTTTCAATTTTTGGATAGGTCGTTCGTGTATCGTTTCGTACCGATATTTGAATGCTTGTATCGTAAACCGTATCTTGGAGGAAAATATCGATATGTATCGCTGTATCGGTATATCGTCCCACCCCTAACATCCAGAATACCTGAACCTACATTATATAAAATTAATTGAATAAAGAGTAAATAAGTGACTATGTATTTTATTGCCATGGTTGAACAAATAAACATTATTCAAATATGATTTGTATATAAAATAAACAGAGTATAGTATTGCATCAGAAATAAAGTCGTCCATATCTTCATAGATATGCCATGCATATTGTACTCTATGAAATGTAATATTGTCCTTGAAATACGAATCTACGAGATAACTTAAACACACGATCCATTTTATTATTCACATTTTGGAGTTTCTCGGATAACCATGTATAGAAATTGGCACAGTCCGCTTTATGTTTAATACACAGAGAATATTGGGTAACAGCATTCAAAGTAGTGTTCGAATGGTCTTCGGATTCTCCGTGTCTATCATAAATCTTCCTCAGAATGCACAGTGTGTCCAAGAGGTGGCGCTCATTCCATTGAAATTCCATTATGACAGAGAAATGTTGGTGTATAATATTCATTTGAAGTCCGATTTCCGTGAGTTCTTCGAAGGATTTAACAATAACAGAGCTCTAAAATAAATTATGTTGATTTCAAGATGGTTTAAGAAATGAATATATAATATATGCCGCTATCCAATTTATAAAGTGAGTAGCTTTTAGATTTACTCCTTATAATTTAATTCTGATTCAATTAGTGTCAGAAAAAAAAATCATTGGCCATAAAAAGGACTTCAAATTAATTTTACAAAATTTAAATGTAACATCAGGTGGATCGATACGTTTTTGGTGACTCAATCTATTACGCTATCATTTTTTTTATCCAATCAAATACCTTAAGAATTATATTATGTACACAAATAAAAGTAATACATGTAATATGGATGTATGAAGCTGAAAGTAAGATAGATAATGGGTATTTACCGATCTACACCTCCTCCCCTCTTTAACCACTACACTAGATCTTTCGGCAGTGCTGTAGGCTGGCATTCTATTAACCTGAAAAAAGGTTTCGTAATATACAGGTTAGGTTTCTTCGCATAACTGTATAAATTTATTTCATGATTCAGTATGTTCGTGTGTGTGCGTGTTCTTTAGTTTAAATGTGACGTCTGTTGGTTTCTCTTCATGCAAACAATGAATAAGAAAATACTTAGCACATATACTTACAGCGAATAATGTTAAATTCTGAATCTGCCAAGACAGTTCACGCAGACTTGCTAAGTAGTTATTCTTTAACTGTACAAAGTCTTCTCTCTCGAGGATTGGAGACACAGTAGTGTTTATGATTTGTTCACCACTACATGGTCTGTAATACTGCACAACATGTCGTTTCCATGGAAGTCGAGTTTTCTTGCAATGTTGGTAATTTGCACATCCGGTCTCGGAAAAGACAGGCAAACACATCAATACACCTGTAAAAAGAGAAAAAAGACGAAAGTTAAATCTTGTACCATGAGTTTGGTCTGCTGTTCAGTAAAAAATAAATACTGCTGCTCACACATCTTCGCTAGCCAAGGGTTTCTGATACGCTCCTCTCCTCATAAACCCTTGGCATACGGTGAAGTTGTTTTCCGTCACGTGATCTCGAATCTATCAGGTATGCACAGATTGCGTCATCGCCAGAAATAAAGACACGTGTTAAGAAAATTAAATCCAAGTTTTTTCAAGAATAATTAAGAAGCAATAATTGAGTTATGTTTATTCATTATTTATAGAACAAATCTGAGGCTTCAATATAGATTCTTAATCACATATTTAGAAGATATTGGATGACACCATGGCTATTCATAGAATTGAATGTTATCTTACGGATCGTTGTTTACTTGCGTGATGTATCCCCGAACGCAAATATCGTCATTTACAAAAAACAATTGCTGATTGGTCGACCTGGGTGTAATGAAATCCAATCAGAACTCTGGAAAAAATCCTGATTTCTATGAACACCGTAGGCCAAGGGTTTATGAGGAGAGTAGCGTATCAGAAACCCTTGGCTAGCGAAGATGCTGCTCACATACAAAAATTAAATAAGATTTCATAGAAATCGATTCATTTCAATAAAACAAATATATAAGTGTCCCAGCAATTTGCTCAAAATGTAACAGCGAGTGTATGTAAAACCACATGTGGAGTGTTTGGTAGGGCTAGAGTCCTGAAAAATAACTACATGTGCAATGTAACAAAACGTGATTATGACTTTTCCACATCTATCACTGCGGTATTACATGTATGTCTCTCTTTGATTCAATACGCAAGATAACAAGTTAGGAATGCGATCAACTTTTAAACCAAGACAAGCTACTGAAAATATGTTGATCTTATACAAGGATTTCGAAATTCGTTTAAAAATAGTTTTTCTAATTCTTCAGTCGATATCAAAATTTTTAATGGAAAAAAAATTATATCGGTGGGTTGTTTTTTGTCTGAGAAGTTTCATACAATTTGTTCTAGGACATTGCTTTCTAATATGTTCCATCTTCCCACAGGAGTTCGCGTACCTATCAATTATACCGAAATTTTCATTAAATAAAAAATACGTAATACGTATAATAATAACACACTTGTATTACGTATCTTCTTTATTTACCGAAAATTTCGGCAAAATTGATAGGTACGCGAACTCCTGTGATCTTCTGAACTAATGCTTGCTACAGATGTTACCGGTTAACAAGGGAATGTCTATTCCAACAAGGCACGACCTCACTTTTGATCTCAATCTCATTTTCCACTATTAATTCCTTTAGTAAAATTGAGACTGAGATCAAAAGTAATCTCATCTAAGTTTTATGGCCTCGGAATCTGATCCCACTTTTGGGATTTCCATGCGGAGTACGTGATTTGCTCTGTCAACAATTCCTTTTGTTTACTGGATTCGCGAGTTTGAACACTGTTCTTTATCTAAACCCTTTTCAAAAATCTTATTGATAAAATAAACACAATGTAACTGAAAATTTCAAACAATGAGCCATATGGATGAAATTTTCGGAAATGAGTCTTCGACAAGTTTAAATAAAATTTGCAAGATATTAATTCTTAAAATATTCTTCTTCGCATTTTATATTTTTAAAAAAATATACATGTATAATGATAAAATTCAAGAAGAGTGAAATGAAACGTTAGAAATTTTCTTGTTTGTTTTAAAAGAACATCCCAGGCATCTTCTCTTAAACTATACGACGAAAGAAAAAAAATAATTTCTTCAAATGCGTCGTAAGTCAACATTTTACATACCTAAAACCAGTTCTCTGGACAACATTTGTAACATGATTTTTTTCTAATGCTTTGAATTGCTGGATATTACCAGGTAATTTATATACACCTGTTATACCGAAAACGTCCAATCAAATTTTTTGCAGATTTTTACTAAATCGAAATATTAAAAAGTGAAAATATATTGTAATATATACTGAAAATTCATATATTTGTTTCGAAGATCTAAATTATCCGTGTCTAAATGAAAATTTGATTGCAATTGGTCATTTGAATTCTATAGCTTTATTCAAATTTAATCCTGGTTGTTTTTATTTCAAGAGTGTCGGGGGCGTTAGATAATCTTCACTTTTTAAATGCCTTTTGTTTTTCTTTCACAACAATTCAAAACCTAATTTCTAAACAAAAGTCTGTCACCCAAAAGACATTTAAATTTAAAAACTATATATAAACTTGGGAGATATAATCTTATGAAAGAATAAAGAGGAATTCCAGAGTTATAAATAAAAATTTAGTTAATTACATGCATAAATAATGATTGGGCTCATTCGCAACTTCTCGGGCCTTTCCGACAAGCAAAGAAACATTTTCGAGCTTGCCGGAAAGACGCGAGACGATATCATTGATCATGGGATGAATTAGCCTTCAAATTCGTGACACTTCGGGCAAAAATTATTCATTTTTTATAGAGGACATGGTGTTCTTTACGATCCCTTTATACCAAAGAAAGTTAATGTTCAACTTCGTGAAGTACAATGTACATGCAACAGGCGCTTGTTTCGTGTACGGGGTACCCCCTTCTTATTTTTACCACAGTAAGGGGGGGGGGGGGTCCGTATACGAAACATGCAGCCTATTTATGATGACATACTGCATGCATGCAGTCAGCACAATACTTTTTTTTAGCTGAAATAAGAAAATATATGCCAAGGCAGTTAGTGAATATCTTTGTACTTGGGAAGTTGAAGGCTTTTTAAAAACACAAAAATGTATTTAAGTGATGAAAGATCATGGAAAATGAGCTGATACTTCTGTGGTGTAGTGAAATATTGATCGAGATAAGAAACATGCAGTAATCAAGCTCAAAAGTCCATTCTTAAAAACACTGTCTAAAGAATACAAATCAGGAGCGGATCAAATATGTACCTCTAAAACATCAGAGGTTGGATCATGTGTCATTTAGGAGCGAGCATCCCTTTTGGACCAGTCTTACCCTCAATGCGATCTTTGTAATGTTCGGGGGAAAGGGAAAAATCCATAGACAAATCAGTGTGTAAATAATGGAATAATAATAAGTATTCTGAAAAAATTCAGTCACCATAAGGCATTTAATGTAATGATCGACATACGGCATTTGCTGGCAAACTATTTACTCGGATTAAAATAGTATTGTACATGTACCTCGGACGAGACTTTGATAACTTTAGACGAGACTGTTAATATTCTTGTTTTATCAACTTGTTTGACCATAGCTTGCCTCGTTCTAAAAATTGTTTGAAGGTAGGTCCTGCGTTTCGAAATCGCTGAGATCCATAAACCTCATATACATGTACAGGTAATAAAGGTATTTTGCTATATGTACATCAATATTGGGAGTTAACGATAAGATTAAAGCACAAAACATTCTTCAATGACCATATGTGATCTCGCATATTTTAAAAGTATTTTAAATATATGATAAATATAATACTACATACTAAAATCAATATCATATGTCACATCAGCCCTCGAGCACCATATAAGCCCTCGGGCCTCCGGCCCTCGGGCTAATATGACATATGAAATGCCAGGATTAAATCCATTTATTTTAGTATGTAATATTCTCCGACTATATCACTCAGACACTGCTTGTACATGTTCATACAAATTAAACATAATATCATTATTCACAGAAGTAAGTTTCTAAACCATTTCTTTTTTAGGCCAGCAAGCTTCTCCTGTAATAAAATTTTTCTTTCACTCTAAATTTAGCGTAGAAACTTATCCCAAGTAACCGTACGAGTTACTATGACTGCTATCACTAAACCGACGTAATTATGAACGAGTTAATAACTTTTCCAACCAAAACTTCTCGTTGCGAACGAAAAAAAAATTATTTACTTTGTTTTGTAAAATATAATGGCCGGTGAACCCTCTGACCACACTGTGGTGATAAAATGGAGTGGTCAAGAGTACAAATTAAGCGTTGATAAAGATGGCATGGTGGCAGATCTTAAGAAAACAATACAAGATGCAACCGGTGTACTCCCAGAAAGACAGAAACTACTCGGGTTAAAATTCAAAGGCATGTTGTCAACTTCTCTATCTCATGTACATGTGTACTATCTGATGAATTTTTTAAAAATTTCATTTAAGAAAATTTTAGCCCCCCACTGAAACTTTTAAAACATATATTTGATATATACCTGTTGATCTACGTAATCCGAGATTCCTCTGACACTTTCCCCCGCTTTGTATATTGTGACATGTGCAGGGGAGATGTCATGTCACGCACATGTCACAATATAAAAGGCAGGGGTAAGAGTCAGAGAAATCTCGGATTAAGCTTTACTTTGGTAACATAATCATTAAAAATTGACATTTTTTTTTTTTCTTATTTTAGGGAAACCTCCAGCGGATGATGTCCACTTAACGGATTTGAAGTTAAAACCTACCACCAAAATCATGATGATGGGAAGCAGAGAGGAAGAGCTGGTAAGAGTTATACAGTAAACTTGGCAATAGGTAGGGCTGCCATAATTTTTCGGATCAGGTCAGTTCTTAATTTTGTAGGTTCAATTTCGTTTTGTTTTCGGTTAAGGCTTATAATAGAATAAAAACTCATGATTTGAACTATATTCAACCAGGGCTCTACATTAACTTTTTTCCCTACTTGTCCATTCGGACAAAAGACCAAGATATTTACTTGTCCGAACTTCAACTTCACTTGTCCGAAAAAATTTTCATTGAATATCTTATTCTGTCAACTTGAAAACTATTACATAAATGAAAAAAAATTAAATGTGCTTGATTTATTAGTCTTGTTATTGATAAAAAAGACAAACACATATAAAACAAAATTTTATTTACACAACCTGACCTGACAACAACATAAATGTTTGCAAGTGAACCTGTAATTCAATCAGATTTATTCCAAATCGGCAAACATCGCAAGATCCACGCCATGCAATGGTATGGATGCAATTAGTGAATATCGATCCGGATCAAGTGTAAACTTCAACTTACATAGCGATTGATATCGGGATCGAAATTCGGGTTTATGTACTGCTTCCGTTTGTATTCGATAAACTTATCAATTAAATCAATAGTTGTTTTTTTATTATTATTCAAAGACTTCTTTACATGAAAAATCACTTGTCCAATCGGACAAGTGCCCAGCAATATTCACTTGTCCGTAATTGTTTTTCATTGGTACCGGACAAGCGTTAATGTCGAGCCCTGTCAACAAACATTTATATTATTTTAAAATCTAAGAAATACAATGACTGGTTTAAATAAGTTTCCTAACTAGAAACCAAATGATTCAAATCACATTATTACCTATTTTAATGGTAATATACTAATGGACCTTTCGTTCTAGATGCTATTTTTATGGTTAAACCTACTCTATTGTACAAATTGAACCAAACCGGATTCCGGAAAAACAGCGCCGAACCCGAACCGAATTTATTGTTCTGGGGTTACGGGTCATTTCGGGTACCCGTGACAGCCCTAGTAATAGGGAAGTTCTGGGGGCCTGTTAATTTAAACATGTTAATTGACTATATCCATAATTTGTTATATACCTATAACGAATTGGTATAACTGTAGATATTGAATTCTCAATATGTATGTTTTCCTTCAAGAATTACTAAGTTAATGCATATGTTAGAAAAGCAATTATTAAATAACTAATATGAAGGTTAAAATTATAAATTCAATTTTATATACAAATACTTATTGAAAATAAAGTCAATTCAATGTATCAAATTTTGAGATCTTTGAAAATTCGTAATAAAAGATGTAAATTTCATTACAATAATAATAATATATTTATCCTCAACAGGACTTGAAATCAGTTCACTTACTATATCTGTTATTTGTTAAATCAGAGTTTGTTATAACCATAACGTTTAATTTACAAAGAATTGTTTGCCAGGGATCCCAATAATTTTGCTATATCCCTGAATTCACTATACCGGGGTTATCTGTGTTCGTTACTAAACAAGTTTTACTGCAGAGGAAATCTTCACTAGATCTGGTAAGAGTTATAAAACCTTTACTAGATTTGTTGGGGTTATAAAACTTACACTAGTCACCTGGTAAGAGTTATAGAACTTTCACTAAATCAGTCGAGAGTTATAGAACCTTCACTAGTGATGGTATCGTATTGATACGACTTGTAGAAGCTTCACTAACAATACATTCAATCATCTGAAATTTTCAGTTTTGCATAAATGTTAAATAATTATGGGGTTAGCACATTCTGAAAGGTCATTTCACAGGAAATGATACAAAAGCCTTGTCTTTTTTGGTGCACATCTTATAGCCAAAGTTGAAATCACTAATGAAATCTTTGAGGAAAAAAGGCGAAGCCTTTGTGAAAGTTATGAGGTAGAAAACAGTAGTGTGTTAAGATCAATTGAAGGAACTTCAAAAAGTTATTTGTTTTTAACATATTTTATTGAATGAATCAAAAGGAGTGGAAACAAGTTCTTACAACTTACTTGTTCCTCCCCCTATATAATAACCTTGTGTCAAGCAAATAATACAGTAAAATATGATATTTTCAATTGATATAAGTGAACAACATGTCAATTTAAAATCTATATGTGTCTTCTTAAATGATGAACTTAAAATTTCAGAACACTAGCTATGAATTAAGTAGCAAAGTTTTCATGAGTTATTGGTGAAAAAAGATATTTTTCAGATGTTCAGATGTGTATTTTGAACAAGCAATAGTCAATGTAATGTCAAAATGTTCTTAAACTGTTCTTAAGAAATGTTCTGCAATGTAATTAAACATGTTAAAAAATCAATTGTATGGTTAATACAGTGTCCATTCCAAATCAGTGTTTTTCTGAAATTCTAGCAATTACCGTTTCTGATTAATTTACACAGCAGAAAAGTCTTTTTAAACAAATTTATCCCTTGCCTATATAAATGTAATTACTATGGACTGTTGGTAATATCTCTTGCTATGTTGTAATTGTAATGCATATAAAAAAAATAACATACTGGCCATGCACTTTTCATTGCAAGACTTATATATTAGACAGATGTTAATCAACTTTAAAGCTGCTTTCAAATTACATGCATCTACATCCTTTCAAAAGTGTGACATATTGATAGATTTATACCTGTATGAGCTATAAATTACAAGAATATCATTCATTCTCACTTAAATTTGTGGGTTTTTTTCACCCTCTCAAATTTTTTGTGTGCACTGTCCAAATGGTGCAAAAATCATGTGAATAGAAGAGATTTTTATCACACTTTTTATTTTGTTTGGTATCGAATAAATCCACTCTAAATCTAGCTTAAGCCTACACTGATTTCAAGTCATATGAAAGGGAATGTGACTTTAATCTTGTTAATAAATGTGCATGGAAATTAACAAAACCATTTAGATTAATTTAAATATGCAGTTTAATTTTGATTAATTAAAGAAAATTGTTGTTGTGACTAATGCCAGACTTAGCGATAAAAAAATCTCAAATCAGATTAACCTTTGATAGAGGTATGGAATGCACCATAACACTTCATTGACATATTTATGCAGCAGCTACATGTATAAGGAATTAAAGGCATTTTATGTGTTTAGCTCACCTGAGCTGAAAACTCAAGTGATATACATGTATTCAGACTCCTGTTGTGGGCCATCTACCTGCCTGTAAATTTTTCACATTCCACACAAACATGGGTATCAAAGTTTTATGTGGAAATACAAAGGTAAAACATACTCTATAAAAATCTTATTAAAAAGAACCATTGGGCCAGGAGAAATAAAGCCTGTGTGAATTCAAAGTATTCTGAGGTTTTTTAAAATTCTTCTAAATTGTTTAATTCCTGGGACAACAATAGAAGATCAGATTTTCATATTAAAATCTTTAGGAAAAAGAGCCACTGACCAGAATAGATGAAACTATGTACTGGTTGGAAAAGAATTTCTACTCAAAAACTGCACAACAGGTTAAACATAATCACAAGGAGGCAATTTTTAGCTCACCTGAGCCGAAGGCATCTTCAGATAGTGACTGATTCAAATTTGTTCAAATCATGACCCCCATGGGTAGGGTGGGGCCACAATGGCTGATCAAAGTTTTACATAGGAGTATATAGGGAAAATCTTTGAAAATCTTCTTCTCGAGAACCACTGGGCTAGGAAAGATGAAACTCATATGGAAGCATCCTCAGGTAGTGTAGATTCAAATTAGTTCAAATCATGACCCCCGATGGTAGGGTGGGTCCACAATGGCTGATCAAAGTTTTACATAGGAATATATAGGAAAAATCTTTATAAAAATCGTCTTCTCATGTACTTCAAAGCAATGATTGGTGATAGTATAGGAAGAAAATATTTTTAAAAAATCTTTTTATCAAGAACAGCGAAGTCATATTTAGTAAACTTTTCAATTCTAATCTAATTTGTGTTTTTTCCTAGACGATTTGCTCAGGTGAGTGATGTGGCCCTTGGGCCTCTTGTTTATTTATATGGATTGACTGATTAAATCTGAGAATCTTACAGTGGTGCTGTTACATAATATTTGGAATCACTTTCCAAAAGAGACACTGAAATATTGTACAGGATTATCACCTAAACAAACTTTTTTGGCACTCGAACAGATTATTTGTTTTCAGAGTGGTGCCAAAAAACATGACTCACAAATTGGATATATTTTGTTTTATCTCACCTCTAGCATGTTTTTTTTATTTCTCGATATCAAATAAATCCATGACAGCTCTGAACCTGTAACCAACTTAGATCGACTTTTCAAGTTTTGTTGATGTTATTGTCAACTCACTGTTAAAATCCTGTAAACCAACTTTTATTCGCGACAACTTTATTTCGCGATTTACCAGGGATAAACTAGTTTGTGACGATTAATTTTCGCGATCTAAGCCATCTTGGATCTGTTATTAATAGATGCATACACTTTAAGGACCAGTTCGTGGCGAGAAATATTAGCGATGACGAGACTCTCGCGAACTTCGCAAAAATTTCTCGCACGCGAATAAAAGTTGGTTTACAGTAAGCTAGACATTCACATGGGCTGATTGACTGTGAAATAAGTTATCCAGATTCAATCCAGGGTGTACGGGGATTTGCCTCGTGATTTATTCCGTACACCCTGAGACCAAAGGCTCCTTAATGAAGTTCAGGTGAGCTTATGCTATAACTCAGGGTAAAAGCCTGCGAATTCATGGTAAAATTTTAGGAGCAAGTCCATTCCCAAGTAGCTATATGCCTGCTTGGACCAAACTTGCAAGGATGATGCATCTGAAGGGACGTACAGACTTTCTCAAAATTTAGATCTGACCCACATTTTGCAAATGAAATTCCAGCTTAAACTTTCGAGCAAGTCCATTTTCAAGTAACTGCATGTATAATCTGGCCCTATATATGTATCATACTTGCATGGATGAATCAAGATGATGCATCAAGGGATGAACACTACATGTAGCAGATTTGCTTCAGTTGGTTAATGAGACTTACACAGTCATGTACATTTTCCTGATCATGAAGAGATTTGAGGTTAAAGAGTCCTTGAAGCAAGTCCATTTTCAAGTTACTATAAGCCAATCTTGTATAGATTATGTGTATGTAGAGTTGGCTAATACTATATTTTCTTCTGTTGGCAGATCTAAATTAAATTCTTTGGATGAATGAACAGGCATAAGTTTTGGAAGCACATGCATTCCCTAGCATCTTGAAGCCTAAATTATTGTGAGACAGTGTAGTTTTAGCTTTAAAGATTTTGTATTTTGATTCATGATAAATCTTTCCTGTATTTTATGTACACACAGGATAAAGTGAAGGAAGCTCCAAAGGACCTGCCAGAAGTGGTGAATGATTTTGACATAGAAGAGGAAGAGATAGCTATAGAAAACAGGTATCATATTGTCAATGTCAGTGGTGTTCTTTGCACTAGTCTAGATTATTGTTGAACAAAAAAATATTGAAGAAGACTCATTTGAACCAATTTAGGTTTATTAATATAAACTTTTTTTTTGAGGGGGGGGGGGGTGTCTAGCAGCACAATCTCATCTGAATAGAAATTTCTGGTAAGCAAATGAAAGTAATCAGTCAATTGACTGATTGTATATTGTTTAACATCCCTCTCAAGAATTTTTCACTCATTTGAAGATGCCACCACTTGCTGGTGGAGAGCTACAAATTTTGTCTTAAACTCGGCATCGGGGCCATTGCACAGGTAGGGATATTTATCGTGCTAGCACCTACTGCAACACAGCACCTTGGTTTATACGGTCTCATTTGAAGGACTGGGGCCCGTTTTACAAAAGAACTTACGACTAAGACCAAAAACTTCACATTAATGTAAAATTTTGCAATATTCATAATTCTCTTTGAAATTGTTTGTGTAAAAATAATCTTACCACATTCCTTTTAAAAAGTTTAAAATAATTTTTGATAAAATGTTAATTAAATACGTAGATGAAGAATTAAATTTGGTCTTTAGTCATAAGTCCTTTTGTAAAATGTGCCCCAGGTCTCCACATCCCAGAGTGGGATTCGAACCTGCGACGTAAGGATCAACTCCTTACTTCACAAATTTAGAGCAGACACTCTAACCACTGTGCCATGTGGGCAACATAATAAGGCAATATAAAGCTGAAAGTTAGTTGAGAGTCACAGCTGTGATAGTGCATTTTCCTTGCTAAAAGACTAGTAGATAAATGGTATATATACAAATTGTAATGATGTTACAAATATACAGTTACTGTTGATCATATATCGTATATCACTGACAATGATGTTATTAAGAAGAAGTCTAAATAAAGAAATTCAGAAAATTTAAATAACTATCAACGTGCTAATTCTTGAATGTATTGGCTTTGAATTTGTGTTTGTGTCTGTATATGATATACAAGTGATGATCATTGTTGTTTTAAAAACATGATTTATTCAAAATTTAAATTAATTTTGGAAAATCTTGTTTAATTTAAAATGAATAACTCAATTTTATTTTTGATATTTTTACTTTTCTAGAGAAGAGTACCTTTCCAAAATAGACAGGCGCATCAAAGACTATAAAATCACTGTACTAAATGAACCAAGGCAAGGGAAGAAACTCTTGGTATTGGACATTGATTACACTTTGTTTGGTAAGTTTGATTATTAGATAAACTTGAAAAAATATCCATGTAATATTTAAAATATTCTCAAGACCAGCTTTAAATATTTTTGGTGTAATGGAAAATATCTGGTAGAATAGCTTCCTTCATTAATATTGTTTAAAGATGGATTTGTGAAAAAACATTGTCCAAAAATGTTCTATTTTTTTCTTGCAGCAACAATTTTGTGATGATTGGCAAGTCTCATAATACACTAAAGTCTATTTTGGTGTCAATTTTTCATATATCTATATATAATTTTACAAAATGCTACTGTATTGGTTTTAAATTCAGTAAACTTGATACACAAGTAAACTACACTAAGATACATGATTATGTTTACTGGTTGTGATGTAAAAAATGATAAATAAATAATCTTGCCATATGAAGAAATCCAGTAAATTCTTACAAAATAATTAATTCTCCTCCTACGTTTTTGCTTTTTTATATTAAAACATATAAATTTAGAAATATAAAAAGGTTATTTTATAGAATAATAACAAGAGATTGATAATTCTGTTTTGGTTTCTGATTTTGTTGAACAATTTTCCTATTCTGGCTATAATAATGAAGAAAAAAAATTGTGAAATTCATTCAGAAGTCTACCCCTTCTATAATTAAAATTCCAATTCAATCACAATTAAAACACAAAGACTAGCATATAATGCCTATTAACTGTCCCTGTCCCTATAGGTGCCCTCTAGGTCTTTTTCAATTGTCTGTAAATAAGGGCCCCATGTACAGTGATTGAAATCACCTAGAGTCGTATCAAAAGTCCACCATATATTTAAGAAAGTAAAAATGAAAATAGGTTATCAGGTAACTTATACATAAAGTATTCCAGAAAGTGCCAAATCTTTAGAATGACCTAATACTGTATTTCTGAGAGATACAGTGTAGTTACCTAAAAATATGTTTTCCCTGTGTACTCTCTAATTTCTCAGTGGAAAAATGAATCATTTAGCATAATTTGGATGGATTTTCTGAACTTTAAGGAAAGTTGGACAATCTTTCAGGGTTCTCTGAACTTATTATTTTTTTCAAAAGATTTCTTAAAGTTTAAATATGGCATTAAATATTATAATGAGAAAACCACAAATAACCCCCCCCCCCTTTCCACAATTTTCGAAGCGCCCTGGGTGGTTAATAGAGATTATAAGGTAATTCTATTCATATTGACTTTGCCACAGTTCAAGTTTTACTTCTTGTAGTTTTGTCAAAGACAGCTTGGTTTTCAGCATGGAAAAGTCAAATGATAATAAAATATATCTTCTAAGAGCAAAATAGCATTAACAAAAAAACTATAATTGGTTGTTTTTTTTTTCATTTAGGACTAAAGCATATATTATTGATAATGGTCGTTAAGTATGTCATGTAATTCTTTTTATTTTCTCTTTTTTAGACCACAGATCAGTGGCTGAAACAGCCAATGAATTAATAAGGCCATACTTACATGAATTTCTGCAGTCGGCTTATGAGGACTATGACATAGTTATATGGTGTAAGTAGTTTATCAAGAAACTACACACTGTAAAATCACTTATTTTTGCAGGGTCAAATTTTTATGGGTTTAGAAAAATAATGGTGGTTCAAGGGGATGTTATTGAGAAAACATATATGAAGATTATAGCAGTATACTGTATACAGGGAAATTTTGTCCCCTTTTTATTTTCGCTCCTTCCGCCATTATCTCTGTCAGCTAAGTAAAAAAGAAGCAAATTTTTAAAAAATGCAGTATAGTCTTAAACAAAATTGTGACTCGGCATATTTAAAACAGATAAATTGTTTGCAAGTGTGAAAGAGCAAATATAAAGTGGGGCAAAAATAACCCTGTATACAGTAAATATCACTTCATAAAAAATTGACGCACCGGTAATATTCATTTTTAGCTCTACTGGTCAGAGACCAGAAGAGCTTATGCGATAGTAATGCGTCCGTCGTCCGTCCGTCTGTCTGTAAACAATTTTTCAAAATGCTACTCCTCCTACAGTTTTGGTCCGATTTCAATATAACTTGGCACACAAGTAGACTACACTAAGATACATAATTCTGTGCATCGGTTTTTGATTTCGATGAACGGTGTTGCCGAGGTTACTAAAAATAGAAATTTTTGTGAAATTGTTTCAAAATGCTACTCTTCCAACAATTTTAGTCCTATTTCAATATAACTTGGCACACAAGTAGACTACACTAAAATACATAATTCTGTGCATCGGTTTTTGATTTCGGTGAACGGTGTTGCCATGGTTACTAAAAATAGAAATTTCTGTGAAATTGTTTCAAAATGCTACTCCTCCTACAGTTTTGGTTCGATTTCAATATAACTTGGCACACAAGTAGACTACACTAAGATACATAATTCTGTGCATCAGTTTTTGATTTCAATAAACGGTGTTGCTGTGGTTGCTAAAAATAGAAATTTTTGTGAAATTGTTTCAAAATGCCACTCCTCGTACAGTTTTAGTTCGATTTTAATATAACTTGGCACACAAGTAGACTACATTAAGATACATAATTCTATGCATCGGTTGTTGAATTCAATGAACGGTGTTGCCATGGTTACTAAGAATAGAAATTTTTGTGAAATTGTTTCAAAATGCTACTCCTCCTGCAGTTTTAGTTCGATTTCAATATAACTTGGCACACAAGTAGACTATACTAAGATACATAATTCTGTGCATCGGTTTTTATTTTGAAGAGTGGCAAGGATCATTTTTCTATTTATTGCTGATTTAAAGTCTCAAGTCCCAACTGCTACTTTTCTCTTCCTTTGTTTTAAGTATAAACCAGTAGAGCTACAGTCTCGACAGAGACTTCTGGTTAACACAAGGACTGAAATATGATGAAATTATTTAAAGAATTGGCTTATTCATCCCTATATGGATTACATGTAGCTTCAAAACTTATATATATACTTTCACAACTGTAATGTGCTAATCTACAATGTGTAATGGGAATGTATAAAGGTGTCCAGATAAGCTGGAAAATAATAATAATAATGATTGGATTTATATATATATTATATATAAGGCGCTAGCACTCTAACATTCTGACAATATCTTTCACTGTCTATAGCCAGGTAACCACAAGTGAAAAATATACAAGTTTCTGCATAGAAATAGCATTTAAAGTGTTTTTATTTTAAATCTGTCACACATTAACAAGTGTAGACACTGTTGGATTCAAACTGGGAACTTAAGTATCAAATCCATACTCTAAGACTTCAGAGCAAAAACACTAAACACAGCTCCATATGGCTTACTCAGTGACTGCTGTCAAATATAATCTATGCTTATTATATATATATATATATATATATATATATATATATATATATATATATATATATATATATATATATATACTGTAAATTCACATATTTTCGTGGGGTCAAATTTTCGAGGTTTCGAGAAAGAAATATTAATTTGATTGGATTTGTTTCCATGGTTGGAGAAGTGTTTAGTAGTAATGCATGTGAAATTTTACATTTCCAGTTGGTCATAATTTCATGGGTCTCTCCATGCATCGAAAACAATGGAAATTAAACCTCACAAAAATTAGTGATATCATGGTACACGATGCATAATAATAAGGGATACACACAATTTAAACATTCACCTTATTAGTCTAAGAAACTGCTTTTCTTGGAATAATATTTGCTAAGGTGAGCCTTGTATTTTATAATTGTCTGTGTTTCAAGTTATGTTCAGGTTGCAAACATTTTTTTTTAAAGCTGCTACAGGGATGAAATGGGTGGAGGTAAAAATGAAGGAACTAGGGGTAACTTCAAACCCCAACTACAAGATATGCTTCATGCTGGATAGTCTTGCCATGATCAGTGTCCATACACCAAAATATGGAGTCATTGAGGTAAAAAGGCTAAATTATACCATAATTACAACTAAATTTATCTCAGTTTGTTTGCAGCATACTGTGAAATCACATATTTTCATGGGGTTCTCATTTTTGGTGTTTTCATGGTATGAAGAGACCCATGAATTCATGTTTCCTTTAAACTTTGAAATTTTCATACTTAACTTTTCTTAGTTCTTCTTTAAGTATGAAATCAAATCCCCTGAACCAGTAATTTTTGTACAAGTCCTAAAACAAATTTAACTCATGAAAACAATTGATTTTACAGTATACAAACATGTATCAATTCAATTTTTGTTGTAAAAATGGACATATTGAGAAGCAATCATTGTATAAATTCAAAAAAAAAATTTTGATTTAAAGGTGAAGGCACTTGGAGTGATTTGGGGCAAATATGAACAATGGAGTGCCAAAAATACAATTATGTTTGATGATATTCGAAGAAACTTTATCATGAATCCCCAAACAGGGCTAAGGGTATGTAATTTAAAATGCTTGTTATGAAATGAAAGTCTGCTTACTCCACCATGTCACCTGATCCCATCTCTAATGGTTTTGAAGGTCCATGTTTGCTCTGTTACTTATTTCTTTTGTCAGTAGATCGGTAGACTCTTGACCTTGGTTATACTTTTGTTTTCTCAAGGTTCTTTAATCAGTAACAGACTTTTTTTCAAAATTCTGCTAGAGCAAGTATATTGCAAAAATTCATTTAAACACCCAATTTTATGTTAACGCCCCCAAAATCTACCTGATTTAAGATCAATAATCTACCGCCTGTCAATCATTAAAAAAACAATAGCTTCTGATTTGATTAACAGGCCAGCTACCCGTGCTACCTGATAGTCTGAGTTTGCGTGTTTCGCGTCAAACACTTTCATGTAGCCGCCTTGTATACACGCGGTGTTTAAAAAAAGAATCTTGGTAAAATTTTATTTCAAAAGCAATTGAGAGTAGATAATTAAAACATGACTTCATAAATATTTGCTTTCAATCTCAACGGCTATATTGTATTTTAGGCGATATGTCGTCCAAGATATCTGCTGTAGAATTTAGACCGGTCCGTGCACAGAAACGCCATTTGCCAATTAAAATTGGAATATGATAAATAAGAAAAGATATTTAGCATAAACGGCATTGATAAAAAATTCCTTTATCCCATATTTTATCTATGTATATAGAAATACAATCTACACCATGTTCTGTTGTAAATGAAATGTCAGAAACATGAGTTTCGAGATTGTAACTTTTAGTTCGAATTTTCTTACGTCTGTCAATACCCAATACATGTATTTGAAATTAAAAAGTGAATATATAAAACCAAATATCAATTCTTAAAAGTATAAAAGAAATCTTGCAAACAATAAAAAATTTTAAACACACGAACACCCGGAAATGGTGAATATTTTCGACACTATTAATGGTCAGAACGTAGGCAATATTCCTATATCGCGGTACATGCATTGTATATGTTCACATGACGGATAGGCATATGAATGGAATATTTCATTATTTTTTAATTTAGATACACAAGTTTAATTAAAAAAGA